TTGTTGACGTGCTGTCGGTACTTGTAGTAGTTATTGTTGTAGTGCTATCAGTAGTTGAAGCAGTTGTTGGAGTACTATCAGTACTTGAAGTTGTTGTTGAAGTGCTCTCGGCATCTGTAATAATTGTTGAGATACTATTGGCGCTTGATGTGGTCGATGAAATACTGTCAGTTCTCATAGGAGTGATCGACGTACTATCAGTATTTAAAGTCGCTGTTGAAGTATCACCGATGTCTGAAGTTATTATTGAATTGCTGTTACTGGTTGTAGTTATTGTTATAGTATTACTAGTAGTTAATATGGTTGTTGTATTATTAATAGTATCCGAGGTTATTGTTGTGGTAATAGTTGACATAGTTGTTGGAATAGTAGTGATTATAGTAGTAGTCGAAATACTAGTGGCTAAACTGCTTGTTAAACCCATGGTATCTGAATTACTAGTAGTGCTAGTCTTGATAGTATCAGGAGAAATGGATATAGTACTGTTAATATGCGTCGTAGGTGGTAAAATAGTCGCACTAGTATGATTTGCATGTGCATCATCTGTGATGAGAATGACTAAAAATAGCAAAGAAAATCAAATGAATTTATCTTTAAAATCAATACAATTGTTCTTATTCTTCAGTTATTTTATTAAATGCATATAATCAGTGTAATAATATAGCTGTTTGTTCTCAAAGAGGATCTTATTTCGTTCACACACTTAGGGCTTTTAATAATCAACTAGTTCTCATCTGATGATACTATGAATAGTTATAGTATTAATAATGATAAAAAAATTAAAATAAAATATTTAAATTCTATGTGAAATAAGTTCTCAGTCTTAATATAAAGCATAGTTAAATAAAAAAATGTGTATATATTAATCTGTAATAATAAAAGAAGATGAAAATATCTTGACAATTATCAAATGATAGAGACAACAGTTGAGAAACTCTATGTAGAAATTGTTTAAAAGAATAAATTTTGCATTAAGAAAAAAATGATTTAATTAACAAATATTTCTTAATATACAGAATCAATAATAAAATCTCAATTGAATTTAATGAGAAGAAGATGGGTATTAAAATGATTAATAATACTTACATCCACATTGCATAGTTGAAAGACATGTAAGATTAATATCATTTCGACATTCTATATCATTAGTACATGAACCTCCAAGAAATTTTTGACTCGGACATATTGATCCATTGTAAAATGAATGAGATTGACATTGACAAGTAGAATTCATACAAATTAAATATGGCTTATTCTTACAAAAACTACAAGGACGTCCATAATCAATAAAATCATCTGTAGTTAATTTAATTGTTCCAACAATTGACTGAAATGATTGAGAATTAATAATTGATCCTGTATTATCTATATCACCTTCATAAAGACGACAACGTTTTGATTGCATATTAAAATTAAATGTTCGACAATATATATTTGAAAAACATATTGTTGAACAAATTATAATTGAATCAGCATTGATATCAAGTAAAAGAAGAAGATTTTCATTGGCCGGAATAAATTCTAAACCAAGTTCAGATAAATTAATAAATGATTGTCTATTACTTGATGTGCTTTGTAAGTATAATATTAAAATAAGAAACAACAAGTGTTGATAGGAAAATAACATAATTGAATTTTTTTTCTGAAATAAAAAATCTATAAATACAATTTTTTATAAAAGATTTCAATATTTTCTGAATAAATTTTGTGTAAATCAAAAATACATTTGGCTAAAATTCGTAATTATTTAAAAAAAACTATTATACAAAGATACTTTACTGGATTTATCCAACCGCGTCTATCTCTATTTAGTTTTTTCCATTCACCTGAATGAGTCATATAACTTGATATATTAATTCTCTATTACTTTTCGCATTTTAGACTATTACTGACTGTATACATGTTTCTTAAAAAATGATCTTGTTAGTTTATCAAAACATACTAAAAACTTCTAATGATAAATCTAATGGGTGCTGATGTACATACTTCTGTAATTTAACTTATAATATGAACAAAGTAAAAAGAAAAGCTCATTAGTAGTCTTACCTTCAATAAAAGTAAAAGCCTTTTGTTTCTTGCCTATTTATTATTTATAAAAAACCATAGGTAGTGAAGACAATTTTTCTTTGTTTTTTTTCTTTTAATTTTAATAAAATGTCCTCACCGTTGATGTACTTATATACGAACAACAAATAAATGAAAAAAACGTTTATTTTCTTTACTTTAAAATAAAGTCATGATCATGTATAATGAATGCTAGAATTAAATATCTTTATAGTTTATTTTTTAAAATAATAATAATCTTTTGAATGTGTATTGATATTTTAAGTTGATTTAGATATATTATATGACGACGTAGAATATTTTCATAATTCATATATGATAAAAAAAAGAAATCGTCTAATTACATTGTCAGTAAGATCTTCTGTTAAACTAAACAGTTTTTAATTAATATTTTTGAGTTAAAATAGAATTAATTCTTTCAAAAGATCATATAATTACTGATAGGAATCTCATCCAACTATTTATTAATATATCATTCAATCGAATACACTCTTGAGCAGTATGTATTTCTGTTAAGTATTATATAGTACATCATTGACGAGAGAAATGTAGTAAGAGAAACTAAGTTGAAAACAAAAAAATCGAATAAGACTTGATGTCTTAGTTAAATAGTATAATAAGACGAAGTGAAATGATGGAGAAATCGAATGATTTATTTATAAACAACCCGCGTATATATATATGTGAGATAATAAAGACAGACAATAGACTGAGGTGCAGAAAGGTCACACGGGAACATAAGTACCCGATGTACGAAAGAGAAAGAAAGAGATAGATATATATATACGTGACCATAAAGAAATATATGAACGAAAGATATAACTATGTAACAGTCTTATTTAAAATATTTTTTGTTGATATAAACAAATTGACTTATTTAGATTTAATCTATTTCAATCAGTAGAAAATTTTGTTTTTTTCTTCTTTCCATCTAAAGTATAACTATTGTCGTCATCTAATATATTACTCTCCTAGTTTTCTTTTAAAAACTAATTTTTTAACTACAGTATTTTCTTTTTTTTTGAAAGAAAAATCTTTGCTTCTATAAAACAAAAAGAAAAAATCAATTGAGATACATGACAGGAGAAAATCAGAGTATATTGAATTTATTACAATCACTATATCTCACAATAACGACGGATCTAAAATGATAGTTGTATGATTTTTATAAGATTTAAAAATAAATATCAAATAATTCTTTCTTAATACATTTAAAAACAAACTATTAAGTAGATCAAATATATTAACATGTTTTAAATAAGACTAAGATTTAAATTTTTATAATACTTTTTAACTTTAAATACTCATAGAATCTCTTAAAACGTAGAAGAAAAAATACCTGAAATTTGACGAAGTATTGTGCACAAAAAGAAATGTTTTACTATTCTTCTTTGTCAATAAATAATATTAGACTTTTTTCTCAAACTTCCATAATGTTGTCGCGGATGAAGAATATTTTTTAGTATAGAAGTAAAAAAAATGTAATTAGACATATGAATACTATCTTTCTTACTCTCGTTGTTAACTAAACGTCATAGACAAAAAAACACAATTAGTAATATTTTTTGTTCTAAAAAATATTTATTTCATTCTTTTATTTTAGTTACTAACAACAACTTCTTTTTAATACTTTTACTAACTGAATGTTTCAACGATTTTAGTTTAATAATTACATTCTTCTAATATGATGAAGCTTTATCTAGAAATGATAGAAACTTCTAACTATCTTTATGGATTATAGTAAATAAAAAACTAAAATTTATTTGTTTTTACTTCATATTACTATTATAAATTAATTTATTAACAAACATTGAAACTATTCAAGTTTTTTTAAAATGACAATTTTATATTTTATTTAATAGTAATAAAATTCTTTGTTTTCATACAAAGAATCAATGAAAGTTACAGTCAAATGATGTAATTCAACAGTTAACAAAAATAATGATATAGTAACACATTTGTTTATATAGTTCCTTTAGCTTTAGTTAATTTTGAAAAGTAAAAATTGTTCAATAATATATTTATTAATTTTAATGTAAAAACTTACTTCATATATTTATGACAAAGATTGTATTATTAATTAAGTTCTACTTATCTTTGATAAAATAAATAAACTGTTCTGAAAATGATCAAACTAAAGAATTTTCACTGGTTAAATCAATAAGGATCATTGTATTGTTATTTAATAGAAGTTTTTTCTCATAATAATAATTTATATTATTACTGATATTGAAATTAAGAAACAATTTGATAGAAAAGTTGAAACACAAAAAAAAGATTTTAGAAACTTGTTAACTGAATGATATACATATTTTATATTAACTTATCAAAGAAATCTTATCGGAATAACATACAGTAGTTTTCGATAATCAATAACGATTTTCTTTAAAATCCATTATTTATTATATTACACATAATTTAATTTATAACAGTGAACTTGATAATTTGTAGCTATACACGTCGAGTGTTATAAACTAAATTTGAGATTAAAAATATTTTATTATTTCAAAAAAAATCTCTTATTGTTTATTTATATTTTTTATAAATATTCATTAATATTTTATTAAATCATAAATAAACAAGTCGTAAAAAAGACAGTTTATCTTTAAATTCTATATATTATTCTTGTAATATAATTTTTATTGATAATTATTATTATGAATAAAATAAGAGATAAAAATTTACAATAATCATAATGAATAATTATGAAAAATTTTCATATGCATAAATAATAAGAATTATTATTATTGTGTCTAAAAATTATTACAATGAATACAAATTTTAAGAAATAAACATGCAAATTTTCATTGAAATTTTTTTATCCTCGGTTGAAAACCTTCGCAGAGATCTCACGCTGATTTTGTCGAGAGGTTGTACGCTAGACATAGTATTATCAACATCTGAAAACTAAACCCCAAAAAAACCCATATCTTGGCGGAAAATCGTTCTTGAAGATCGTACAGTAAAGGGATTCTAGAGACCGAATGGTCCATTGTTTTGGGACCAAAACTTTATGGTTAGTGTATCGTCCTAGGCTGTATATTTATAAAAAGTTTCAGCTGAATCGGATCAGCTCTTCTTGAGATATAGTCACATTTTTACCCCCGTTGGTTAAAAATTGCCTTTTTTTTGTTCTCCAAAAACTACTTATAGAATCCAGAGAATTTAAGATTTTCAAATTCGGAAAGCGTTACAATTCATCAAATACTTTCCTCTATCACACATCCAAAAATCGTCGAAATCTGAGAATCTCGTTTGAGCAACTTCGGTCTTGGCTTACATGGAGTGGTTCATATATCTTATAAATTTTTAAAAACTGAAATTCTAGTACTAATAAAGTAAAAAACTAATTTCCATGGGCACGAATCGATAGAGCTGAAGTAGCGCTACATTTTCTCTATTGATTGTTTTTTGAAATTTCGTACTTCGGGTAGTGTCATCAACTTAAATACTAAACTTCAAAAATTTTCCATGTATTTTGCACTACGTGATGGAATTAGGAAAGAAAAATGACTGGTGTGATGTAATAAAGATTGCAGCCTAATTCCATCACGGAAAAAATTCAACTAAAACGTATAAAAAACCATGAAGATGGGTTCTAGTGATAATAAAAATTATGTCAATCGATAGAACTCGATCTAAGGAATCTGATGATATGATTTTTTCTGAAAAGTTTTGTGATCTTCGATCTAATAACAAGCTTTTTCTAGTTGTGCCATGTATTTTTGCTGGAAATGATGTAATTAGGAGAATGAAACAGCTTGAGTGATGTAATTAAGAAGAGGTCAAAGTTGAAAAAAATTCGAAGTAGGTCTCCTTATATGTGTTACTAGTAGTATAAATCGTAATATTTTTCAATAAAAAAATCGATAGGTCGATAGAGAAATGTTTGCTCTATTCCGCAATAAAAAAATCAGCACAAACGGATGCGAAGAAGCCGAGATACTATCTAACTATTGAAAAATTTCTAAAATGATGATGGAATTAGGGTATCTTACTCTACTCATCTTCTATTTCTTTTTAGAAAAAAAGATTACGTATTGTATGATCAACTGACTGAAAACATCTGGTCAACTCGTTTTGATATAAATGAAGATCCAATTGATCATATTTGTATTCATACGACAGATATGATAAAACAATCTATTAATAAATTTCCAAATGCAACGGAACTTACATTCTGTGAAGATTTTGATGTACCACGTGATTTCATTATAGTTGGTTTGGATCATGTTTTTCCATTGAAAAAAATTACTAAATTATCCATTGAATGTCATCATTTTTCTTTTGAACAATTAATTAAACTTTTACAATTCACATCAAATGTTCATATATTGAAACTTGATTCAATAGTAATACTTCATCGAAATAATGCGAATTTAATTCAACAAAATTCATTAACTCAATTAGTATCTGAAACAAATATTATAACAAAAATAACAATTAGTAAAGAAATTACATTAGAGAAAATTCAATTATTAACTATTGTTTTTCGTCGAATGGAAAAACTTACTATTAACTTATTCAAACAAGATTTAAAACGTATAGCTCATTTTTTATTGTCAAAACCTAATGACAATACTCGCTATTTATCTTCATTATGTATTTCAAAACAAATTAATGATTTAATGATAATATTGAAAAATTTAATTAAATCGAAAAAACTTTTTCGTGATTATATTCTAAAAGTTATTAATCGAAAATTGTATTTATGGTGGTAAAATTGATTTGTTGAATTTATGTATATTGATTTTGAATAAATACGAAAATTTATTTCTTCTGTAGCGGAATATTGACGAATGATAAAATAGTTATTAGAAATTTCGAATATACTCTTTCAAAGTCTTTCCATTCAGATTGTATTACAATTACATAAAGAAACTCGTTCATTGTATTCAATTAAAATAAACTATACAATCAAGAACGAGATCCATATCTGCTATAACTTCGCATGCAGCATCATTTTCATGCTAATTAGTCTCTTTCACTCAATGTAAATTATTGATTGCAAGTTTTGAATCAGTTCTGTTGTTCTGTACCTCATTTTTACGAGAGTCGATCAAATTTCATATAATCTCCTCGGGAAGCTTCTATTGAATGCCAGATAGATGATGATGCAAATTTGAAGTTTCCAGTCGTATTAATTTTAAAAATGTAACAAGAATATTACTATTAAGACTAATATCATCGGATGTTGGTTGGTATCGTTATTGATAATATTGGTTTGTAGAATTACTTCTCTATAAATCGTCGATATATCTTTAATGAAAAAATGCTATATACTGCATAATAAGGTCTTATTAACCCTTCTAATACCATGCTAAAGAAATTTTATCGAATTTAAAATGAGCTTTTTTCATGTAGAAGAAAACGTTTTTTCTAAGGAAAAAATGGAGTTTTGATGACAAGGATGTATGTGGTACATAAAAGAGCTTAAAAAATTTACACCGTAAAAACTTGATATCGATTAGTTGAATTTTTTGCCAAAAAATAATAATTGTCTATGGGTATGGACAAAAATGTCCAAGCATGGTATTAGAAGGGTTAATGTTTTAAAAACATTCATAATCATTTCTTTTTCTTCTTTCAAAAAATCAAAAATAATGAAAATAAATAGCAGAGTCACCAACAATAATACATTGTTGAAGTAAATACCAAACATGTGTAATTTAGTTTTGAGTAATATTCTGTTCAATAACTATCAAGAGAAACATTATCATATGAAAACCGTTTTTAGTTTGACATCTGAATATTTAAACGATGTTTTACTTCATCAGACGATATATAAAAAAAATCATTTTGCTTCTAATGACACAATGGTTAGTTTATTTTCATTGTTTTTAATCGAAGATATGATTAGTGGATATCAGATGCAATTAATAAAGCGATTAGCATCTGCTTTCAAATTCCACAACAATATACTCTTTCGGGCAGAAACTATATTCTGATGTGTTTGATCGGGAGAGATTTTTTTTTTTAATTTTTTGAACAATTATAGAATCAAAAGAAAAGACAGATATTTTATTGCACAAAATAGAAGATATGTAGACATTAGATATAAGAAATTACACGTTTATATAGATAAGAAAACTATCAATGATTATCATTTTTTTAGTCAAGAGGAAAATAAATCATAGAAATCAGAACCGAGAGAAAAAAGAATTTCGTATTTTATGCAGAAAAAAAAGTAGATTGATTTGTCATTGCAATTTGTTTTAATCAGTTTCTTCATTTATCATTATTTCAGTTTTAGTTTGATTTTTACAGGCTTCAATTTTTTTATCATGTTCACTAAGTTTTTCCATTAAACGATCTAATTGTTCTTGTCGATTTGTTTCAGCTGTATTTTGTTTTTCATTAATTTTCTCTTGTAATAGTATTCGTTCTTCTTCAAGTTTAGCTAAATGTTGTTGCACAACAGCAAGGCCTTTTTCAATAGGTGCTTTAGCTTTTTCAATTTTAGCTTGTAATACACGTTCACGATTTTCTTGAGCTGATTCAAGTTTTTTTTGTAATTTTTCTTCAGTTTGTTTTTTAAATTCTTCAGTTTGTTGATCTTTTATTTTACTTATTTCTATTGGACGATTATTTTCTGCTGCAAGTAATGTTGCACGAAGTTGTTCCAGATTAAGACGACGTTCTTCAGCATGCTTCAATTTTTCTGTTATACTCTCAGGTGTTAATGGTACTGCTAAGTCACTTTGATTTCCTTTAGCATTTGGCGAAAAAAAATGTGAATGTGGAAGAATATTACCATTGTGTCGTGGTGATTCAGCAAGTTGTACTTCAAATGCTAGACCACCGGAAGATTCATTCAATATTTCTAATGATTCGGGGATTGTTATTGTTGTAAGAGTTCGCTCTGGAGTTTCCATTTTTGAAAATGAATGATCAAATATTTTAAAAAAACCTCTTGGTAAGTTGTAATAAGCAACTTTTCTCGATCGTCCAAAGAGCACAACATCAACTTTATCTTTACACGTCTCATTCTTTCTTTTCTATCTCTTCACATGATATATGCAAAGATAAAGCAGATGTCGAGCTCTGAAAGGTGTTGATAAAAGTTGTTTATTACAAACTTACCAAGAGGTAAAGATCTCTCTCGATCAAAGACATGTTGTGATGACGAAATTGTGCGGATTGGTAGCAACACTAGTCTGCCAGAGCAACATTTTTTTATAAATTAAAAATAAAGAAAGAATACTACTGCAGTCTAGTCATGTCTCTGTCACTTTTCGTATTTGATTTGATTGATCTGAAACATTTTACTGAAAAGGTTTGCTCTTGTTCAAATAATACTATTTGATAGACACTTCAAAAAGCTTTTGATCACGTCCCTCTTGGAAGTAAGCTTGTTTTTCAATTGCTATCAACAATACTATAAAATGATAATCCATTTGTAATTTATCATTTTTACCATTATGAACGTGCGACAGTTTCTTTTTTGTACAAAAATAGCATTCTGTGCTTCAATCATAAAACTTCAATTAGTAAATTAGATTGATGATGTACTACATTATCATTTACGAAAACGTTTTCTGAATCTTTAGGTCTAACAATTTTGTAATTTTTAAAAACTATTTATAATACATTTCTTTTAAATATGTTCGTACGAAATACTTTTCTTTTTGTAATGAAAAGCAGCAAAGTTCCTACGATATTCCTAAACCAATAGCTATTTCTCGTTCACTAGTACGGTTCTTTTGTTTTAATAAATTCCTTGTGGCAATTCAGTAACAAAACATGCATGATGAAGAAAAGCAATATTCGATGAATGGCTCATGTTTTTTTTTCTACACAACTTCAATGACAAAATTCTACACCCACACTAACATACTAGAGTAATTGCACAGGCGAAGACAAGAGAAAATAGTGAAGAATATTCCATTCATGTCGATAGGACACGCTATCGATACGTGTCGACACCATGGCACCATGGAGGCACATGTTGATTATAAAACGAAATCATTTCTTCCGCTTCTGATTTGTTTGTTTTATCACGAATGTTGTTAAGAAATTTATTTGTCTCATTCTGTCTCTTACTCTTCAAAGCAACAATTATTAATAAGCTAATACTCAACATCAAACTACGTAAATGACAAAATGAGTGAATCAGGATCAAATCAAAAAGTTTCTTCATCAATAAATTCATTCATGAAAAACAATAATATAACAACAATATCATCTGATGTTATTCAACCAGAGTGGCAGATGGTTAAAAATTATTCACTTCTCTGGTTAGATGAGGATATGAACGAAACAAGTAAAGATTACGAAAATATTTTAGCACAAATACGAAATATTACTGATGATGTTAATGTCTTTAAGCAACAAGATGCATGCATCGACTTTCTTACAGATGCTCAAGAAAACATTAAATTTTTTCTCGTTGTCAAGTATAATATGGCTCAACAAATAATGCCCCTCATTAATGACATTCCTCAGCTGGATGGTATTTATATCTTGAATGATATTAAAATTCTACATGAAGAATGGACCAAAAACTGGAACAAAATCAAGGGTATTCATACAAACATTAACGACTTATGCAAAACATTACAATCAGATATCAAAAGGTGCAATCAAGATTCGATTACCATGAGTTTTCTTACGGTAAATGAAATAGACTCAACAGATAATTTAAATCAATTGGACCCAACATTTATGTACACTCAAATATTTAAAGAAATTCTTCTTGATATGGAACATGGTGAACAGGACATCAAACATTTTATTGCTTACTGTCGACATAACGACTGCATCTCGCCAACCAATATTAACCGTTTTGAGAAAGAATATCCTGCTCAATCAGCTATTTGGTGGTATACATTTCCATCCAATATTTATCTTATGCTCAACAACGCTCTTCGCTGTATGGAAGGCAATATGATTATTAACATGGGTTTTTTTATTCATGATCTTCATCGACAACTTCAACGACTACACCAACAACAAATCAACACCTACGGTGGAAAAAAAATTGTGGTTTATCGAGGACAAGGCGTTATTAAATCAGACTTCGAAAAACTTCAGAAAACAAAAGGCGGATTAATGTCATTTAACAACTTCTTGTCCACCAGTTACGATAAAATTTTCTCCCTTGGTTTTGCTCAATCTGCTTTAACTGATCCAGATAAGGTGGGCATTCTCTTTATAATGTCCATTGATCCCTGTATTAAATCAACACCATTTGCCGACATCGAAAGGGAAAGTTATTACAACGAAGCAGAAATTCTTTTTTCAATGCATACCGTCTTTCGAGTGGGTGAAATTAAACAAATGGACCATGAGACTGAAATTTATCAGGTTGAATTACAATTAACGTCAGATGATGACCAACAACTACGACTACTTACTGATCGGATACGAGAAGAAGCTGGTGGTAGTACAGGTTGGAGAAGATTGGGTAAATTATTACTTAAAATTGGCCAATTTAATAAGGCTGAAGAACTTTATAATACGTTACTTGAACAGACATGTGATGAAAGTGAAAAAGCGATTTATTATCTCCAATTGGGATGGGTCAAAGATGACCAGGGTGATTATGAAAAGGCAATTTGGTATCATGAACAAGGATTTGCAATTCAACAAAGAACTCTTCCTTCAAATCATCCTGATTTGGCAACTTCATACAGCAACGTTGGTAGCGTGTATAACAACATGGGAAATTGTGACAAAGCACTTCAAATTTATCTAGAAACTCTTCCTTCAAATCATCCTGATTTGGCTGCGTCATACAACAACATCGGTTTGGTGAAAAACAAGATGGCTAAGTACTCGGAAGCACTCTCATTTTACAAAAGAGCACATAAAATTCGAGAAGCAACTCTTCCTTCAAATCATCCTCATTTAGCTACATCTTACGACAACATAGCTGGTGTTTATGGGAATATGGGACAGCACCCAAACGCACTTCCATTACACAAAAAAGCACTTCAAATTTATCTGAAAACTCTTCCTTCAAATCATCCTGATTTGGCTACTTCGTACAACAACATCGGTGGTGTATATTACATGATGGGAGATAATCCTGAAGCACGTTCATATTATGAAAAAGCACGTGAAATTGAAGAAAAAACTCTTCCTTCAGATCATCCTGATTTGGCTATTACATACAACAATATTGGTTTGGTGAATAACGAGATGGGCGATTGTTCGACAGCACTTTCATTTTATAAAAAAGCACTTAAAATTGAAGAAAAAACTCTTCCTTCAAATTATCCTAATTTGGCTGTTTCATACAACAACGTCGCTGGTGTATATAACAAGATAAAAGATTATTCAGAAGCACTTTCATATTACGAAAAAGCACGTGCAATTGAAAAGAAAACCCTTCCTTCAGATCATCCTGATTTGGCTATCACATACAACAACATTGCCACTGTGTATTGCAATATGCAAGATTATCCAAAAGCACTTCCACTTCATGAACGTGCTCTGGGCATATTCCAACTTGCATTACCTCCAACTCATCCTTATATTAAGGCTGTGAAAAAAAACATTGAATTTGTAAAAACGAAATTATAAAAAATATTTGATAAATAAATCAAAGAGTTTTGTTCATTTATTCTTAAATTAATTCATTTTTTAGTGGTTCACGGGCTTGTACAGAGAACAATTCTCTAAATGATAAGGATGTGGGTGGATAAGAAGAATAACCGTACCCACACTCACACCCACCCCTAATGTGAATGGATCATATGAATCTTCAATAAACAAATGAAGACTATATTCAAATGAAATCAACATTATATTTTAAAAAAAAAGCGATGTTTAAAACGAAAATAACTTATTTGTTCTATATTATGACACCATCAATAATACTGTAGCAACAATTTTCATATCAGAGAATGAAGTATTTTCAGTGACAAATAATTTCTAATCATTATGTAATTTTACAAAAGAAAGTAGTTAATTTACCATCCGAAATTCTTCTATTATAAACTGACTTTTAGATTTATGTTTAAATCATCAATTAAATTGATCTACTGTTCTTTGTTTTTTTTAATTATTAATCTAATTGGTAAAAATATTCTTGAACATAGATATACAATCCTCCTGATAGTGAACAATTAATAAAAACTGTTAAGATATGAGACCATTCTTATCGATTTAATTGATGAGTTAAAATGGTAAAATTCATTTTGTTTCAATATAATTCTAACGATGAAGTTTTTCACTCGTTGGATCGTTACATTTATATAAATCAATTCAAAGAAAAATAAAGAAATATTTGATTGATATTCAACCATTCATAGATTTGAAATTGA